ACACGTTTTAAAACTATGAGGTTGACAGTGATACGTAATGAGCTAAAATGGACAAATACCTGCTAATAGTGAGCTTCAACTGTTATAGTGACAAAGAACTTAGGTTAGATAGAAGATAACTATCTCCACTGATATAGTGTTTCTTTTAGGCGGAACTAAAAACAATCATACTCAAAATGAAGAATTTCGTCCCAGTGAAAAGTGATTGGTGGCAGTAAAAGAATTTCAACGAGCCTAAGTCATTAGAGCTTACGCTCAAAGTGTACAATATCATACTAATGTAGAGGTTTGTTGTTCCCGACATGCATGTTCGGGTGTAAGTAATAAAAACAAATTTGAATTATTTTGATAATCTTTCTGAAAATGGTGAGTCATATTGGGTGCGTGGGGGCGAAGGGGGCAAAGCAAGGCACATGGGTAGAGTTATAATGGGACTTATGGGGAAGGCATTGGTCCCATCTCCCATCTTCGGCTTTAAATGGAATGTCCTCCATTGCCACCCCACCCTCTCACACTCTCTCTCTCGCTCAAGCTACACCCTTCGTGGGCTGTGGTGATGAGTGCTGTAATCATAACAATTATGGCCTTTAATCTTCCCTCTTAAACTGCTTTTGCATTCAACTTTTTCTCTTCATATTTGCTTTTCTTCATCCGAGGATACATATTATTTAACATTAATTAACAAACTAACTAATAAGAAGGGCTCGTTTTGTCGGACCTCACACCAGTTAGAGAGGAGAATTTAGGGTAGTAGTGAGATTGGGGTATTACAAATGATATCAGAGTCAAACACCGGACAATGTGCCAGCGAGAAGGTTGAACCTCGAAGAGGTTTGACACTAGGGGGTGTGCCAACGAGGGCATTGGACCTCGAAGGGGGTGGATGGGGAGTCCCACATCGATTGGAGAGAGGAACAAGTGGCAGTAAGGACGTTGGGCCCCGAATGGGAGATGGGGGGTGGCTTATGAGATCCCACGTCGGTTGGAGAGAATAACGAAACATTCTTTATAAGGGTGTGGAAGCCTCTCCCTAGCAAATACGTTTAAAAACCTTAAGGGAAAGCCAGAAGGTAAAACCCAAAGAAAACAATATCTGCTAGGACTTGAACTATTGCAAATGGTATCGAATCCAGACATTGGGTGATGTGCCAGAGAAGAGGTTGAACCTCAAAGGGGGATGAGGACACTGGTCCTCAAAAGAGGGTAGATTGAGGGTCTCACATCGATCGGAGAGGGGAACAAGTGCCAGCGAGGACGCTGGACCTCGAAGGGTGTGGATTGTGAGATCCCATATGAATTGGAGAGGAGAATGAAACTTTATAAGAGTGTGGAACCCTCTCCCTAACAAACAAGCTTTAACACCTTGAAAGGAAGTCCGAAAGAGAAAGTCAAAAGAAAACAATATCGGCTAACGATAAACTTAGGCTATTACAAGTTTAGTTAAAAAGTTCACAAAACCCGTCTTCAGAAGTCAAGATTCTGATCTAAAAATTTTGAAAAACAATAAAAAAAAAAAGGTAAATTCAAAGAGGGTAGTTGTTCCTTTCGCAATTATTAAAAGGTTAGACAATAATTTTTTTTATATTTCCAGAAAAAGGTCACTGCTACATGTGTGAAAACACATACTAGGCTACCTAATATGGTCAGTCATTCATGCTTTAATGTTCAAACCCTTTGTTTCCCACGTGATTGACTCCAGCAAAATATGGGGTCCTTATATACAATGGCTAATGCTTGTTCTATTTTGTTCATCTTGAAGGGGAGTTCTCAAATGGGCTTGGCTATTCACTTCCTACCATGACCTTCCCACAAAGTAAAAGAATCAAAACTCAACGGACAGCCCTATACACTCTACAAACAAGCACCAATTGAAGAGAGCAGACATAATTGACTGAGCTTTGTTAGCTACTTTCATATGGAAGTGAAGTAAGAATGGGCGAGAGTATTACCTGTTTGAATAGATTAGGCAGGTGCGCCGAAAATGCTCCAGTTTGAGACTTTAAAGCTGGAGACTGCAACTTTGAATACCTCTATGGATCCGGATGGGATAGCACTTTCGCTCAAGGCACTGCAATGACAAAAATATAGCACAATAATTGGTATAAGAGTTGCGAGTGACAGGTACAAGAAAGACATGCTGCGTGCCACAATCATATTTTTCTTGGCAGCGACCGCACTCACTCTCAGCACTAAATGAGTCAAGCTAACTTAGGATTGTGTTGCCTACGGCCGGACAATGAATGCTCAAGTATCTAGCACCAATTTGAGACAGTTTTAGAAAACGGGGATAGAGAGAGTTTGAAAGTAAGATTTAAGAGAAATTGAAAACAATGTTATATGGCATACAAGCAAAAACACAACACAACACCTTAAATAACATATAACTTTTCAGGTAGAGAAAATTTGACAACTAGTTGTATCCTCCTATAGTACATTTTGAGGCGATTCAAGTCTCACAAGCCTAAATATGATTTCGTCGTACGGCCATACAAAATTTAGGTGGGAGGAGTTGTCGATGGGTCACATCTCCCTATAGTACATTCGGGGAAAATCATGTCTACTAGATGTGGACAAGATTTTGTTGAAACGTCATATACTTGGACAAAATAAGAAGGAAATTATACATCATGAAGGCAGTAAAGGAAAGAGATAAAGTGATACAAGGCAAGAATTATGAACATTACGCCTTGGACAAGCATGGCTGGTGTAGGAAGAATTAAGAAAATGGGGTTGGGTTTATAGAGGGCCAGATGATACCAAAAGAAAAGGTAGGTTAAGGGAAGTTGGGTAACTGAGCAGGAAAACTAGAAAGAACAGGTTTCTCAAGTACTCGATAGACTACCACACACAGCAGCAATACATACCATTTGGCCAACTGCAGTTGTAACCATACATGCCATCCATCTCTTTAGAACATAACCAAGGACCATTTCCTACAACAAGCAACAGACGCCTCTATTGAAAAAGATTCAAAATTGTAATCCTAATTCCTAATTACTACAGACGATAGAAATAGTTTTTGAGCTATAAATTTGATCAATTTGATCACATAACTTCCTTGCCCTCCCCAAAGTAGTCCACTTTTATCTATCACGGTCATGCTCGTCTAAGGCGTATTGCCCATGGCCACATGCTCATGCCATGCCGAACCCTTTGTTTAATTCAATGTTGTATTGTCTTCCTATTGTATTTTCTGTTTGTATGACTACTCAGCAAAGTCATGTATCGCCTCAAAATTTACTATACGGGTGTGACTAGTTGCCTCAAAATTTACTACAGTAGCGGTGTGACTAGTTATATAACTTTGATAACCCGCTTTCAAAAATCTCTCTGGCTTGAGCATAAGTTGCTCAGCCATAGGTGTTAGGAATCATAGATCTCCACAATGGTATGATATTGTCCACTTTGAGCATAAGCTCTCGTGGCTTTGATTTTACTTACTTATAAACTCACGATCATTCCCTAAATTAGCCAATGTACGACTCCCTCACAACAATCCTCAACAATAGGTTTTTTCAAGTTAAAACCATCTTATCACATAGGGTCAGAGGCTTGAACATAAGTTGTCCAGCCATAGATAAGGCTAAAACCACCTTATCAAATGAGGTCAGAGGCTTGAGCATAAGTTGCCAGCCGTATGCGACGCAAATGCAAATTGACTTGACTCAAGAACGAAGGATTAGAACATTGTGCACATAACTTCCTCGCCCTCTCCCTAGCATACGTTTGATTACTACACTGTAGACGTAGGCAGTAAATTTTTAACAGAACAGCAATGGAACAAGACAAACCTGGAACCTAGGAGGAAATGTGCTAACCATGGCGCCACCGAACAGAGCACGCTCTGAAGAGAGACATTCCCTCATTTTGATTAATGGGGAAAACAATCAAACAGAAAAGAGCGAAAATCGAAGCTCGCAGCTTGCATACGAAACGTTTGCTTAGGAACTGCTTCACGTCGAACTGAACCAACGCATTTAAAATCGAACCGTGAATCGGTTTGGTTTGGGCTTTGAGATTGAGGGTTGGGTGATGCCGGTTCAGTCCCTTCGGATTTGAGCCCAATCTTGAACCAAACCGTTTCATTTTTTGCAAAGCCAAACCGAACCAATTCTAATATGGAGAACTGATTGGTTTGGTTCGGTCCAATCGGTTTGATTTTCAAATTTGGGCTCATATCCTTCTTTGCTCTTTGGCCCAATAAGGCCCAATAAGGCCCAATATTCTTTTAACTTCAGATTGGAAAATTATAATAATGATGATGATAATGATAATAACGGAGGAAACCCAATCAACTATCGGGAAGGAACTCGAGCAACTCGTGGCAAGGAATTTCTACGGTGAATGAAACAGGGGTGAACAGATAAGGACAAAAAAGTCATCTTTGACCTTGTTCGATCCTATGGATATTTATCTATCTGTAAAGCCATAAAGTGGGCTAACAAATCCTAAAAAATCATCGACTTGTTTAATAAAGTCTCTCTTATATTCGATACCTACAACTTAAAAGACTCTGCAAAGCAATGAAGCAGTCTAAATTAACATAAAAAGATGAACAAAATATTCATTACAAGAGCGTGAAAATGTTCATGTTTTTCAAACTGTGAGTCAAACCGCGCGGTCATATTTAAAATTTTTATATAAAATTATTAATAATTTTTCCCCTTCAAACGTGGTTGTTTTAATATAAATATATAATAAATAAAATGAATTAAAATATGTTTGGTCAATTCTAGGCTTCGATGTCGCACCGATTTCCAAGTTGTCTTTGTTTAATTTTTATTAGTTTAAATTAAAAAGGAAAATTTAAAACGTAGACACATTTGGGCTTGAAATATATAGAAGCTGAAACAGTGGGCAGGTAACGGATTAAACGAGGTGAAGCATTAAATCACAGCCGTACATCATGCTGGCCTTGTTTTGACTCGTTGGCAGGCTGCCACGTGGATGACCGCCCAACCCAACCCTTTCTCTTCCACGACGACATTTCCTCAAGTTCGTGTTGGAAAGGGAATCTTAAGAAACGACGTAGTTTGATTCTTCTCGATCTCCATCCTCTCTCTTCCTGGATTCGTACTGCTTCCACAGATTTCTCTTTGTTTTGTCTGCAAACCCTAGCTTGAATCCCCTTTCCATTTCCTCCTTCCTTCGTTGATTCCGGTGTTGTTGTTTCATTTCTTTCCCGAAAACGCTAGTGTGGGAAGCTTCTTCCCCCTTCTCCTGAATTGGATTTGGGAATCCCTCCCTGCTGTTTCTCAGTCTGCCGGAGAATTGTTCGGGAGCTGCGATTTGGGGTTTTGAGTCCTAATGCACTTCCGGCATCTATTGGAGTTTAGTCTTTGATTGCTTCTAGCTCCTTTTCCAAGATGGGTTTTGTATTCTCCGATCAAATGTTGGGTACTTTTGTGCCAATTGTGGTTTACTGGTTGTATTCTGGGATTTATATTCTACTGGGCTCATTTGAGAACTACCGGTTGCACTCTAAGGAAGATGAGCTAGAGAAGAACGTAGTGCCCAAGAGCACTGTGGTCAGAGGCGTTTTGCTTCAACAGACTATTCAGGCAGTCGTTGCGATCCTCTTGTTTAAGGTACACATTGCATGATGTCAGTTCCGAGTTCATTTAATTTCAATCTGTATATGATTTTGATTATGTTTTGTGCATTTGTCATGTCCCCTGTATAAAGTTTGAATCAATTGATTGTTATTAGTTGAAAGAGGCGGCGCTGAGTCCACTTCGATGCGTATTTATCGCTGTATTTTGTTAACTCCCCCCCGGTCCCCCACTTGCTTTAAGTTCTCATGGATTTGTAGACACCATTTATTGATGCTTTAAGACTGTCACTTCAATTGTTTTTGTTGAGAAGTAATCGTACAAGTGCTTAGCTGCGCGAAATTTATTACTGATCTGAAACTTCATCAGTTCTTTTATACTTTACAAGCTGACAGCATTAGTAGGTGGAGCGTTGGACCTTTGTACTTCCTAGTCTTGCTGACCAAGATTGGTTGATGTATTATTTTCTGAGAATTCCTTTTGTTATTTCTGAATCATCTTTTTTTATTTCACCTGGTTAGGTCACTTTCCATGAAAATATTTCATCCATGATCCTCAAACTACTCCACAATTCTTAAAAAAAAAAAAAACGAGTAACCTCCTACTTCGAGGTTCAGGTTTAGGAGAGGTGTGCTTTTAGCTCTATAGGCATGTAGCTCTTCACTACGCTAATTGTGTAAGTGAAGCGGGTGCTAGGTGGGTGTGCGCATTTCCCGACATGTTGAGGTTGGTAGTGGGCGGGTCTAAAGGCAAGAGCATGGTCCAGCCATTGATCACGAGTCAACGACCAAACAAAGAAGTCAAGTAAGATAAGTAAGACGAGCATTTTCTATTGGAAATGATCGTCTAACCTTGTGGTTTCTTAGGAAACTATATAATAGTAAATTTGATACTTAGGATGTGCGGTTGATAGTGCTTAAGCTTTTATCCTTTTTCCCTTCCTGTCTTGTGATTTGGGTGGTTGAGGGAAAAGAAAGAAGCGAACTGAAAGTAGAAGTAATCACTTAAAAAATTTGTCCTGTATGGATAGGTATCATTTAGCGAAGACATTGTTGGTCTAAGTTGTTAGGCTTATGGTCTTTTCTGCACCCTTTAATTTGTATCTGGACTACATCTAAAGATTACTCGGGATCGCTATGGTCAAATTCAAACCCTTCACATTGAGAGTATCTTATTGTTCTTCCAAATTCTAACCCTTCACATTGAGAGTATCTTATTGTTCTGCAGTTCGCGATTATTAGTTTCCTAAGTGTAGCATTTTGGCCCTCATTTCTTAAATACACGTTCTCTCACTGTTCAAGTACTGGCTGAAAGTGTCCTGTAGGCTGTAGCCAATACAATCAAGAAACAGAAATTGGTTTGTTGAGGTCAGTTTTTCGAGTTAGAAGACCACCGACGCATACCTGAAGATAAAGGGGTTGAAGAACTTTCTTGAATGATGCCAAAATCGGAACGTTAGGCTGTAAATCCTGCAATTAATTTCTGATATGCTGGATGCAATCATTTCTATTTGGAAGCTGGACAATTACTTGTTCCATTCGTTTACCAATCTTCATCTAATGTCTAATGTATAAACTTAGCAAGTCACAATGTGGCTAATGTTTGTGCGTGTCGTTTTTTGTTGTACGTTTTATTTATCACAGCTGAGTCGATTTGGCATTGCCTGCCACTGACAATTGCTTTGTTGAAACTTATCATCACGTAGGTGACAGGAAATGATGGGGAGGTTGCTACAGCTCCAAAATCTTGGCTAACAATCGTCCTTCAGTTTATTGTTGCGATGCTCGTGTTGGACACTTGGCAATACTTCATTCACAGATACATGCATCAGAATAAGTTCCTATACAAGCACATCCATTCCCATCATCACCGGTTGGTTGTACCTTTTGCATTTGGAGCTTTATACAACCATCCATTGGAGGGTCTTCTCCTCGACACGATCGGTGGAGCTTTATCTTTCCTCGTCTCTGGGATGTCCTCTCGAGTCTCCATCTTTTTCTTTTCATTCGCCACCATCAAAACAGTAGATGACCATTGTGGATTATGGATTCCCGGGAACCCTTTCCATGTGTTCTTCAGAAACAATTCTGCATATCACGATTTCCACCATCAGCTATATGGCAGTAAGTATAACTTCTCCCAGCCATTTTTTGTTATGTGGGATAGAATATTTGGTACCTATATGCCTTACTCAGAGAAGAGAGCCGGGGCTGGTTCGGAAGCGCGAGTTAAGGAAGATTAGTTGTTCCATAGCAAGCATATATTATTTTCCTCACTGTTACTTTTTTTTTCCTCTCTATCTCTCTCAGCCACCACACTGCTAAATTTGTATCATACGCCTGCTCGTGTCTTACACTCTTGTTAGTATTATTTCCTCGTCGTTTCATAGCTGATTCGTGTTGTGATTTGAACCTTTCTTTTTCTTGTACCTACTCCTTGTGAACAGAGAACCTCTGATTTTTCCTTCTTTCGATTTGGTTAAACGTTACTTATCCCTTTCCCAGCTGCATTCTGAACTATCTTTCTTCTACTGAAATAGATTGCTCTGATATGGTGAAGCTGCAAATCTAGGCTAAACTTGGTTTCTACGAAAATTTAGCACTTATTTGGTTCACATGGTATGATTAGTAGAACAAAGACAATGATATAATTTATGCATGAACATAGGAACTATATGTATTATTTAATGTCCAGTTGCTTCATTGAAACTATACATAACAGCAGGTAAAGTTTGGCAAACTGTCGGTCAAACATTGGATTAATAGCAGGAATCATATGTTGTTGTCTGTATCTGACCTGGAATTGTCATGCACATTATATATATATATATATTTTAATGCAGAAGCAGTATACAATGTTGATGGCCAACTATGAATGACCATCTATCTGTAAATCATTTCCCGAGGGACGTTTGGACCTATCAGAGGGGTCTTTCTCAAAGCTGCACGTCGCTTATTTTATTTCAAGTAATGAAATGCTTGATGTGGCAACAGCTATGGAATCCATTCTATTTTGGATATGCTCTAATTTTTAACATTATCTCCTATTTTAGCAAATCAATTATTCGAATGACATGCAAGCCAATCACCCACACCTTTTCTTTTATGTTCTTATAATATGGTTTTGGATATTATAAAGTAGTGTCTCTCTCTTGTATTTTACGGAGTATTTTTTGATAATGTAACGTGTTATACCCAGGATTTAGAATCTTAATTCCGCACTTAATGGCTTTGTTTCTAAGAGTGAACACGAGTCTTCTCTGCATGTTCTGTTCTTACTCAGTAAAGAAGTGGTACATGAATTGAAACCACATCTGAATGAGAGTGATTTTGGCTTAAAAGAATTGAAAGTCATCATCTATGCCAACAAAGTGCACCTTCCTTCTCGGTGGCTTAATCATAGGAACTTCGTGGTTAAGCATGCTTGTTGGATGAGGTATTGGGAATTTTTCCAGGATGTGAGTTAGGACAAAACTTGCTCGAATGACTTATGTTGGTACGTGGAAATAGTATTCACTCTAAGCTAGAAGTAAGTACGTGACCATATTGTAGGAGATGTAAGGTATTGTCAGGGCATCAGGTAGATTTCGAATCTTGGGCATGAGTCGTTACGATAATCGTTTATTTTTCAAAAAATAAATTTATAAATATTTTTGTTTTGTTATAAAACCCAAATAAAATAATTTTGATTTATTTAAGAATTTTTTAAAATTCTTTTAAAAACAATAATACTAATAATAAATTTCTGCCCATATGTGAGACCAAATTATTGACATTAAATCTATCCTTTTTTTAATTATTGTCCTGCAAATTTATTAACTTCTTATAGGGCTATTAATATAAAAACATTTAATTAATCATTTTAAAACGTAAATATATTAAATAATACGTTTGTAAAAGAGTTTTATCAAACATTTAATTAAATATATTAAACATTTTATTAATTTTTGTGAAAAAATTGGAACCTTTCATTCTGCAAAAAAAGAATTTATCATTAATTTAAGTAATGAAACTATAATAAAATTATATAAATTCCCTTAAAAATTATCACTTTATTATGAATAATTAAAATAGGTAAACAACATTTAATTAGGGAATGTTTTAAACTCTAATCCCAATTATCTCATGAGCGAAGCGTACAAGCAAATCTCTGATTCGAGCTAAACCCCATAATTTTGGTATCAGCTTCGAACCTCATCAGCCTTCCAAACGACGCCGTTCTCCGGCGAACTTCCGCCGGAGAATCGTACTTATCTCCGGCCACTCTCACCGCTTTCTGATTCTTACAACCCATCAGAAGATTCGAACGCCGCCAATGAATATTCTCCACGTCGCTCTCGTAGCTGGATTTAGTCATGTAGGCTGCAGCGGTGGTGGAGAGCCGCCGTTCATCGTAGTCCGACACGACGGAGAAATCAGCGGCGCTGGCCGTGGTTACACTCCAATCAATGCTCGCCTCGCTTGGCGCGGTGGGTGTTATACAATCAGAGCAATTAGAGCCCTGTCTTGTGAGAATCGAATTGGGGTTCCCCGTTAAGCTCTCAATCTCAAAAAGATCCGAACTTGCATCACTTCCGGTGTCCTCGTCGTAGATTTGATCGGAATCAGAAGCTTTCACTCTCGGAACGACGTCGTTCCACGCCATTACCGACAGCCTCTTCTCCAAATGATTCATGTTCAAAGCATCGACATTTGGGGATCCAAAGACCTCAATCGATTTCCGGCCTTGAATTTGTATTTTCAGCGCCGTGTTCTTCGTGGCCTCCGGTATTGAGCTCTGAAACGTGAAATTTATCCCTGATTTGGTCGGCGGCGATTTGTCATTGTTCTTTACTTCCACAGACTTGTTGTTGCAGCAATAGCATTTATACAGCAAAATCTTAGCCAATTGTGACGATTTCTTCTTAATTTCCTTCGAAGATTTTCTATTTACTTTCTGTAACAAACCATTTTGGCTATTCCAACTCCCTTCAGAACGAGTTGAGCTGCAACTTTTAGGCTTCTTGCTCTGTTTTTTATTTTCAGAGCAGAATTTGATGAGCTCTGGGCTGTTAATTCCGCCATTGAAATACTTCTCTGCTCCAAAAACTTCTATATGATCTTCATCTTGTTCTTGAGCTGTTGTGGTAATGGTGGAATTATTAGACCGATTGCGAGTTGATTCAGCAAGTTTACGCACAAATTCTTGCTCTGCATGGTTCAAGTAAGAAGAAAAAGAGGCTTCACGGAGGTTATTGCTCTCAAAAGACACTCTCTGCGAGAGATTTGTATCACAAACAGGTGGCGGCAAGCTCACCCTTCCCATGGACCAAACCCAATTGAAGATATGAAAAAAGTTGGAAACTTTGTTGAAGAAATGAGTGGGAAAGAGATGGGAATGATTGGTGTATAAGTAGAGTATGTATGAGATTAAGCCACGTGTCACAATCATATTCTTGTGATAATTGTGCTACACTTGTTCCGACAGTGAGAAATTCGACGTCGGTGTATGTTAAAACCTCGAGTCACGTTGCGAGAAAAGGTTTAGAAAACGTGAGCAATGAATTACATTTGAAAACGTTTGAAGAGAGTAACGTTATGTGACTATAAGAAAATTAAGAAATACCACGGCTTAAATAGCATATAACTCAAGACAGGAAGAAGTGACAACTAACCATATTCCTCATTCGGGAGTATTTTAGACTTGGCGGGTGTAGATATGGTTTTGGTGAATGGTCATACACTCACGTATCTAGAATGAAAGTATGTAAACAGGGTTTGGAAGGGGCATGCAATCATAGACAACACGTCCTAGACAAGAATGACTGAGACTGTGAGAATCTCACATTGGTTGGGGAGGAGAACGAAACACCCTTTATAAGGTAGACGCGTTTAAAAGCCTTGAGAGGAAGCCCGAAAGTGAAAGCACAAAGAGGACAATATCTGCTAGTGGTGAGCTTGGATTATTACAGGGACATTTGCCATGCGGTCACAGGCAACACACCTTGGACAAACGTGACCGTGACATCATGCATATGAGGCTTGGTCGAGGGTCGGTTCAGGTTCTATTGTTTCACCAAAAACTGACAAATTCATGATTTCATATCAAAACAACAGCATAGTTTTGTGGTGTGAAGGGCCCTGAAATGGCATTAATGGAATGCCAGTTGCTAGAACTCACACAACACTTGGACAGCTAATCCCACGTCCGACACAAACCAATTCACACAAAATCTGAAGTGAAGGGGACAGACACCATAATGTACTATCAGCTCAGTGGATGGACAGTTCTGTCTTTAACTTTCACCATTCAGCTAAGGTACGAAGTTGTTTTTCTTCGTTTCTAGCTCTGTGCTGTGTTGCATAGTTTCCAGTTTGAACACCGTATGCACATTTAAACCACACTCCTCTAAGGCTGCAAATGCTACACGTTACTGTGTCTATGTGAAGCTCCATCGTTCCCACCACTTGTCACTGTCTTTCCAACTCACCAGCTTTCTTAACTACTCCTACAAATTTATTAGTGTTAGGGTTTGTAGAGTCCATTAAACTTGGCAATTCAAAAGCACTCACTAATATCTTAAGCATTATCCATATCACTTACTAAGGATTTGATTTGATTTTACTCCTTAATCAAGATTGAACCTGCAATTATCAACGTTATTCATAGTGTCATAACGGTTGGAAATCACGACTCTCTATAATAGTATAATATTGTCCACTTTAAGTATAATATAAGATCATCCCCGAACTCCTCTCCAAACAATCTTCACCTTGAACAAAGTACATCATAGAGCCTCCCCTGAGGCTTATGGAGCCCTCGAACAACCTCCCCTTAATCGAGGCTCGACTCTTTCTCTGGAGTCCTCAAACAAACTACATCATTTGTTCGACACTTTGAATCATTTTTTACTACTTTTTCGAGGCACCCAACTTTTTTATTCGACATTTGAGGATTTTATTGACATGGCTAAGTTAAGAGCATGACTCTGATACCATGTCAAGAATCACGAATCTCCACGATAGTATGATATAGTCCACTTTGAGTATAAGCTCTCGTGACTTTGTTTTGAGCTTCCCTAAAAAGCCTCATTCGAATGAAAATAATTTCTTACTTATAAACCCATCATCAACCCCTTAATTAGAGGACGTGGGACTCCTCTCCCAACAATCCTCAACATGTTAAGGAATGAAATGATCATAGGTATATAAACGATGACAGTTATCTCTATTGGTACGAGACTCTTTAGACTCAACCTATATAGATGGAGATTCCATTGCTCTTGTAATCTTATCCTCTTAAAAACTATATATGGTGATAATCGCACGTCAATCTAACCATTTCAAGGTCAAATTCATAACGAAAAGAGAGCTCACTTGCGTGTCCCTCGAAAAGGATACAAATGGAATAAAATTATATAGATATAGATAAACCGATATGATATGAAAGGTGCATTAAATTTTTTTTTTTTTCAAGTAAAGATCCCAATAGGGTTACCTAACCCAAAGAATGATATGGGATAGGAACCCCCCAACAGGCGAGAAGATGCGTTTCATCTCAATGGTATCAAACAATTCGGACCCCTACAGCCATTAATGAATGTGTGTATGCAACATGCAGAAGCCAACCAAGTGGGTAAGTGGTGTAATCACAGGCAGGCTTGTGCGTTAGCCGTGTGGGGGCTTGCATAGATTTTGCCTTAATAGGGTTTTCAAATGGCAGCATTAGGGTAAGTAGTGATGATGATTATTATAGGGTCCACTTCCCCAAGCAGGGTGAGGCATTGATGTTGAAGTTTGTGGGCGATAGTTAAGGTTAAGGGAAACGGACCAGCTGGGCTCGAATCAAAGTCATGTAGTTCATAGCTGAAAAGATTCTGTACTGTTCTTATGGTGGTTTTGTTTTGTGTCGTGGTTGGTTCGTCAATTTTGTTTGCCTACGTCGTTGTTCATTTTCTTGTCTGCAAAACTGAACTGGGTTTTTGCTGGTTGTACTTTTTTTGTGAGATATGATTAGGAAATAAGGAAGTAGGAGACAAAAAGGGTGTCTTGTCGTTGAGTTGGAGCAATGCCTTGGCTTACCTTTGACTGTTAAACTAGATCAATAATAGGTGGCTCCAAGCCACCGTCGGAAAATATTGTTCGTTTCAATATGTTACGTACCGCTGACAGTCTCAAAGTTTCAAAATGCATATATTACAGAGAAGTTTTCACACCTTTATAAGAAATGTTTCGTTCTCCTTTACAACTGATGTGGAATCTCATACAGATTTTATGTGTAACATTGGAAGGGTGTATGATGCGAATTAGGGTGCCCATCAATTGATTAACCTCGAGCACAAGGAGACCAAGCCATTTAGCCTATTTAATCCACTTGAGTTATGTTCTAGTTGACCTAAACAAGCAATGGGGTATGTGGGGGTGGTTGTCCATAGAATACATGCTTATTAATTAGAGAAGAAATGACATTACGGTCATCGTTGTAGAGTGTGAACAAAGTTAATTGGAGAAGCCTTCATTTGGCCTCTACTAAGCATGCTTTGATCGTATCAAGACACGTACATACGTACATATGCCACTTTTTTGTCCATTTAATGGAAAGTTTCGATCGATGACTACTCAACCATTGAAACATATAAAATTAAACGTGTTTGACTTGACAATTCTATGGATGAACTTTTGAAAAGAATGTAAGTGAGCAAAAAAACATATGAATCAGTGTTAGTCTAAGAACAACCTTCACAATTCCAAGTAGTTCAAGATTAGTGCGTGGCATGTCTAGGGTTGTAGTAGATGCAAGAAAATGTTTAGGTCGTTGGATGCCAAATTTAATCTAAATTCTGATATAAATCATGGGTTTGAAGAGTTAAGATATAATATCAAAGTGAAATCTTTTCAAATATAATTGACACACCACATTCGATTAAGAGAGAGTTAAAGAGATTTAATAGTTACTATCTATGGTATGGGCACTTGCTTTGGGTTTGGGCTTGAGCATTGATCATGTTGGTTTGGCCCAATGATTTAAATGGGTTGGAAGGAAATTGATGGGCGATTGAATGGGTTTAGTTCCTCCCACTGAGTTGCCAGTCCACTTACTAGGGCTTGGAAGTTCTGCAAATTATCCCTTGTGATTATTGACCTCTTGAAATTTCTGCTTCTTTTTTTAAATTCGTTGCATTATCCTCTTCGGTGAGAGCGAAAAATTCGAAGCTGGGTGGGACTTCAGTCCACGGATTTGCTATAGAATTAATTAAGTAATGAAGATTTCCTGTTCGACTACCTTCGCAAGTTTAGCTGAATCTTCAATCCATTGTCTTTCTAATCAATGGAAACCGTTGTCTCCTTTGAAATCCACGGAGAAACCAATTCCTAAGATTCTACTCTTTGGTTACCGCAATTTGTCCCTCCGACAGCCACCCCGGCGTTCGAATTCCCGGTTCCAAAATGGGTTTCGCCCACTTTGCTTCTTCAATGCTAAAGATGAATCCGGCGGCGATTTTCAGCAAAAGGTGCGCTCTTCTTACTCAAATTCACCATTAATTTTGGACACACTTGCTGTTGAATTTAGAGAAATGTACTAAATAGCAGAGAATTGAAGTACGTTTACTGTGTTGCTGAAAAGAAAAGAAAGCATTTGACTGTGTTGAGGATGGTTGGGAGACGAGTCACACATCGGCTAATTAAGGGGAAGGTCACGAGTTTATAAATAAGGAATTCTATCTCCATTGGTACGAAACATTTGGGAAAACTGCCATGAAGCTCAAAGTGGACAATACGTACCATTATGGAGATTCGTGGTTCCTAACATGTTTTCAGAGCTATGTCATTAACTTAGTCATGTCTATAGAACCCTCAAGTGTCAAACAAAGAAGTTGTGAGCCTCAAATGTGTAGTTAAAAGTGACCCAAAGTGTCGAATAGATGGTGTACTTTGTTTGAGGGCTCCAGAGAAGGAGTCAAGTCTCTATTAAGGGGAGGTTGTTCGAGGGCTCCATAGGCCTCTGGGGAGGCTCTACAGTGTACTTTGTTCGAGGAGAGGATTGTTGGTAGAGGAGTCCCACGTTGACTAATTAAGGGGAAGATCATGAGTTTATAAGTAAGGAATACTATCTCCATTTGTACAAGGCCTTTTGGGGAAACCAAAAGCAAAGTCACAAGATAAGCGGAAAATATGACATTTTGTTTCAAAATTCTCTGTTGATTTCTTGGAAAAAAAGAAAACGGTATCAGTTGAGTTAAAGGAATTTGAAACATTGTTTCAGGGAAATGGGGCGGGATGGCCTATCTTGAGGCGATGGGAGGTGCCATGGGGATGGCAAACAGTTTCATTAACTTCATTAGCTTGTGGATTGAGGTGACTTTTTTGCGACTATTTTTACTTTGTCCAAGTGTAATTGCTTTCATAATAAGCAAGAGGAAAAAAGTTAATGTTTTCCCAGACAGTTTCATTGTGACAGGATTGGTTGAATCTGCTGCCATACCTTATCTTGGTATTCGCATTGAAGAGCTAAGCTTAGACGAGAAGGCTGAAATACTTTTCCTCGACCAAGGGTATGCCTTGATTTAGATCAAATGTGGTTCTTTCAGATTCAGACATGTTCATAAATTTTGTGATCCTCTTTTTCACAAGAATCCGGAATGACACTTAATTATTTACTGGTTGTTTTGGTAGCATTACGACTGTGGCTGTTCTTGGGATCTTATACAGTATTGCCAACACTTTCCAACCACTTCCTGAAGACTTGTATCGCTATGGTATTCTTAATTACAAGCTATTGCTGATTATTTAATAATGTTGATATGGATTACCCATGATGAGCTATGGTGTCTGAACTCAGAAGAGGCTTTGTTGTGTTTTATACTGCTGAGTGGAAAAATTACATTTCATGTTATTAGTAGTGATTTGGGAAGATCTTTGGTTTATTGATCATGCTCTAACATTTCTGCTGATGGGTATCATTCAGATGTGAGGGACCCTCTGAATCTGCAGAAGGGCTGGCTCTTATGGGCAGGAGTGGGTCTGGCTGGTGCCCTGGCTTCTATTGCAGCGACAGGAGCTGTCTTGTCTTCATTTAACGGTGGGAGTCCTGAAAGAGAGGTTAGAAACGTTAAAGATCATTTTCATATTTTCCGTTGTCCATTTTAAGCTGGAACTGGAAAGTATATAGCTCTATAGCCCTGTTGTAACCGCCCAAGCCCATCGCTAGCAGATATTGCCCGCTTTGACCTGTTATGTATTGCCGTCAGCCTCACGGTTTTAAAACGAGTCTGCTAGGGAGAGGTTTCCACACTTTTATAAAGAATGCTTCGTTCCTCTCTCCAACCGATGTGGGATCTCCCAATCCATCCCCCTTCGGGACCCAATGTCCTCGTTGACACTCGTTCCCCTCTCCAATCAATGTGCCAACGAGGAGGCTGAGTCCTGAAGCAGGGTGGACACTAGGCGGTGTGCCAGCGAGGACGCTGGGCTCCGAAGTGGGTAGATTGAGGGGATCCCACATCAATTGAGAGGAGAAAGAAGCATTCTTTATAAGGATGTGGAAACCTCTCCCTAGCAGACGCATTTTAAAACCTTGAGGGGAAGCCCTGAACGGAAAGCTACAAAGATGACAATATTTGCTAGCAGTGGACTAGGGCGGTCACACCTTTGTTGTTTTTGCCTACTTGACAGCGAGCATTAAAAGTTAGTTAGTTCAAGGCGAGTTTTGACCGATCAAGTTTTCCTTTCGATCAAGGAGAGAAGCGTTCTTGTGTGCTCACATGGGATTGTTTACTATGTTTATGAGTCTGAATGAACTTGGCTTCACTATTTTGAAATTACTATTGTCGGTTCTGTCAAATCTTGCAGAGAACAGACTCTCAAATTTTCTTTTCATTTTGGTTTCAGACAGACGCTCTAGTACGCTTGCTTCCACTAATAGGATCTTCCAGCATCAGGTAGTTCACGGAAGGTTGCTTCAATCTTGCATATACTCTGGCTTTCAATGTGTCTAATGTTTTCCAAGGCTCATCGTTTTGGTGTCCAATTTACTAAGACAACGGTTAATATAGAAATAAGCAAGTAAAGCCAGCATATATGTTTTCATTTCAGCACTGCTTGTCTAGTGGGAATCGCAGGTGTTCTTGCTCCAGTTCTTGAAGAGACTGTGTTCCGGGGATTTTTTATGGTGTCTCTTACCAAGTGGTATGGTCTTTACTTCCTTAATTAAGTTGAGTTTTTCTTATGATATTGGCCATTAAACGATTTTACTGAGAACATGAATTCAACTGTTGGGAAAACACTTGCTGTTTACAGAGTAAATAGAGAATCTATACATTTCTAGGCCCATTTAGCCATAGAAAAGTGAAATAATAGTGCTGCCTCTGAGATATGCTTTGAGATACTGGAAAAAAACTGTCTGGCAGCACAGAATTGAGTGATTGTTAATGATACGAAAGGGAGAAACGATCATAATATTGTCTTATAAAGCTGCATGCACGAGGGAAAGGATGAGATGCTCTTAGGCGAGGGTTGGAAAGTCCATCGCTGCTATATTGATTTATAGACTTATCTCGTGAGATTCCACCTTGGTTGGGGAGGAGAACAAAACATTTAAGGGTGTGAAAATCTCTCCCTAGCGGACGCATTTTAGAAACCTTGAGGGGAGACCCGAAAGAGAAAATCCAAAGAGGACAATATCTACTAGTGGTGGGCATGGACTGTTACAAATGGTATTAGAACCAAACATCGGGCGATGTGCCAGTAAGGAGGTTGAGCCCCAAAGAGGAGTAGACACGAGACGTGCTACCAACGACACTAGGCTCCGAGGGGGGTGAATTGGGGGTCCCACACAGAGAAGGGAATGAGTGTCAACGAGGATGCTAGTCTCCAAAGGGGGTGGATTGTGAGATCCCACATCGGTTGGAGGGGAGCGAAACATTCTTTATAAGGGTGTGGAAACCTCTCTCTCGCATATGCGTTTTAAAAACCTTAAGAGGAAACTCAAAAGGGATCCAAATAGGACAATATCTGCTAGTGGTGAGTTTGAGCTGTTACATATCTGACCTAGGTTCTACGAGGAACATGACTGACCAAAATTTGTTGCAAGTGATGAAGGGAGGACGTGTTGGCGAGTTCGTTAAATCAAGTTGTTTCGGTCGAATATCATCTAATTTATGAGATTATGTGAACATCATTGTCCAAGTCCTTTGATTGTGTTACCATTTACATATGATGTACTAATATGTTTATCCCGATCACTTCTCCTCCTTCCTGCAGGGTTCCTACGCCTATTGCCATTCTAATCAGCGCAGCTGTATTTGCCCTTGCACATCTCACTCCTGGCGAGTTTCCTCAGCTCTTTGTACTTGGTAATCTCAATCACCTGCAAATTCTCTTGAAACTCTCCTTTTACCATTTCTATAGTCCTTCTAGAGCAACACGTTAGGCTATAAACCCGACAATAATAACAAAGCCGAAGTTATTTCGAGTTTTTCATACGTTTCCTCGTGTCGAAAACTCACGTAGGAACTGCTCTCGGACTTTCGTATGCTCAAACTCGCAACCTCTTGACCCCCATCACCATACATGCTTTGTGGAACTCAGGCGTCATTTTGCTCCTCACCTTCCTTGCGGTGAGTGAAGTCTTATACTCCAAATTCAGACCACAAAGGGTACTGAGCTAACCTTTCTTTTCTTATGCATATAGCTCCAAGGCTACGATATCAAGGAATTGCTGCAGACAACATAGTCGAACCTGTGGTTTCTTCTGCTAAAAACTCAGAATCTGTGCCACAGAATAGGCTGTTAAAAGCTACATTTTTAGCAGTAAACTAGTTGATTAAATGAGCTTATTATAGCTGTTTATCACTGCTTTTTCCACTATGTTTTTAGCCAGATTCTTAGAAACATCAGAGCTGGTGGTGTAATTAGGATAATATAAGAACAGACCATAATGTAATTTCCTTAAGTGTGATTAAGCGTATTAATTATGTATTAAAAAGAGGCATGGAAGGCTGTGCGTTGTAATTAAAATAAAGTGTGTTGCACGCTTGACAATGGCAAGTTAGCTCAAAGGTCAAGAACAAGGACAAAAAGGGTTCCAACTGAGGGCTACATTTTTGGGAGTTTCACTGAATTTCATTTCACCTTCTCCCCAAAATAATATATTTTAATCTTTTTCCACAAAACCCTAAAAGCCTCAACTCTGAAAGAGAGGTCTTTTTTTTCTTTTATATTTTTTGGGTTAGAATTATGAATCTCTACCATGGTACAATATTATCCACTTTGAGCATAAGCTCTCATGACTTTGAAGCCTCCTCCTTTGAACGTTCTCGAACAACCTCCCCTTAATTGAGGCTCGATTTCATCTCTAGAGCCCTCGAACAAAGGGTTTTTTTGTTAAGAATCACGAATCTTCATATATTAAGTCTCCCCTTAATCGAGGCTCAACTCCTCTGTAATCACGAATATCTCAATAGTATGATATTATCAACTTTGAGCATAAGCTCTTAGAATAACCTCCCCTTAATTGAGGCTCGACTTCTTCTCTAGAGCCCATAAGCTCTCAGAATAGCCTCTCCTTAATTGATGCTCGACTCTTTCTCTAGAATCCATAAGCTTTCAGAATAGCCTCCCCTTAATTGATGCTCAGACTCCTTCTCTAGAGCCCTCAAACAAAGCACTCTTTGTTTTGGGTAAGATAAGAGCATAACTCTAGTACCATGTTAGAAATCACGAATCTCCACAATAATATAACATTGTCCACTTTGAGCAATAACTCTCGTGACTTTACTCTTGATTTCTTCAAAAGGCCTCGTACTATTAGAGATAATGTTCCTTACTTGTAAACTCATGGATCTTTCTTTTAATTAGCCAGCTTGGTACTCCTGATAATCCTCGAGTAAGATTGTCATAAATGGGTCAACTCAAAAGGTTGACCCATTTAAGAAAATACCCATTTTACCCCTTTGGTATTTACACAAATTTCAAACTTTTGGCTTTTTGTAAAATCTTAAAATATTGGGTTAAATTCTGACAAAGGCAGTGGAATAGAAACTGTGGGAATGGAATAGAAGCTGAATTTTGGAACTCCGAGGAACTCATAACTCATAGCTCATACAAAAAATCAATAAACTTCATAATTAATCAACTTCATTAACATATATTTAAAGCATAGAGTATCGAAAATCGTGTTTAGCTCCATGTTTCCATGTCTTGATTTCAAATACTAACCCTTTTTTAATTAGGTGTTCTTCGAAAAACTCCAATCTTCATTGCCTAATTTAATACTAACACACCTAAAACTCCACAAAATTAATCCCAAAAACTCACTTAATCCAAAACGAATCCAAGAAATTTCCCCTCTCTCTCAAATCTCCAGATTCCCCCATTTCCATAATCACAAAATTCACCAAATTACACGTAAATTTCCAAGAAAGTTGCACTAAAAATTTCATAAATTAGGTAATTATGCTAAAGTTTAAGTTTTTATCATATGGGTTCTTAAAAAGTTGCTTCCTTTTTTAAGTTTATGAACATATAAATGAGTGATTGATAAGGTTAAGACCTTCTAGGGTTTTCTTGGTATGTGTTCTTTAATTTGTTGCTATTGAAAAAAGGGCTTCTTTAATACCCACCAGAAATAGCGGCTGATCCCTCGGGGGCAAACCCCTTGAAAGGAAGCATATATTGCCTTCAATTCAACTCAACTTTCACACACTCTCTCTGCTAAAGCTTTAATTTTTCTCTTTTTGTTGTTCTTCATTTCTTTGTTGCTTTCACTCTCGAACTCTTTTTAGGGTTTCTTAGTAACAAAGCAAGGTGATCACTTTAGGGTTTTGTTATATATTAATGGAGGAGAGACATGATCATGGTGAAAATATAGAGGAACTAATGCTGCCAGGGTTTCGTTTTCATCCAACCGATGAAGAACTTGTTGGGTTTTACCTTAAAAGAAAGATTCAACAAAGGCCTCTTCTTATTGAACTCATCAAACAAATTGATATCTACAAATATGATCCATGGGATCTTCCAAGTAAGAAACTTTCTTCATTTTTGTTCATTTTTGTTGTTGAAAGTGATGATATTCCTTGTTTTGAATCTAATTTTTGGTGTGTTTTTTATGTGTTTTGTGTTTGTGTTTTAGAGCTGGCTGGTAGTGGAGAAAAGGAGTGGTATTTCTACTGTCCTAGAGATAGAAAATATAGGAACAGTGCGAGGCCTAACCGTGTCACTGGAGCTGGGTTTTGGAAGGCCACTGGCACTGATCGCCCAATCTACTCATCTGATGGCAATAAGTGCATTGGGTTGAAGAAATCGCTTGTTTTTTACAAGGGGAGAGCTGCTAAAGGTGTTAAAACTGATTGGATGATGCATGAGTTTCGTCTCCCTTCTATCACTGATCCAGCTCCAACTAAGCGATTTGTTCATAAGACCCTTCTTGCAAATGTAATACATCTAAACGCTTCTTTTTTCGTTCAGTTCAAATCTCGAGTAGGGTATTGTTCTTTTTGGATTTTTCCTTTTGAGCTTCCTCTCAAGTTTTTAAAACGCGTTTGTTAGGGAGAGGTTTCTACATCATTATAAGAAATGTTTCGTTCTCCTCTCCAACCAATATGGAATCTCACAATTCGTGTGTTAGTGAGGACGCTAGGTCCTCACGAGTGGTGGGTTGTGAGATTCAATATCAGTTGGAGAAGGGAACTAATCATTCCTTATAAAGTGTGGAAACCTCTCCCTGTCTTAAAACCTTGAGGGGACGCTTAGAAGGAAAAGTCTAAAGAAAACAATATCTACTAACGTTGGACTTGAACCGTTACCATTACATTTACATAGCTATTCTAAAGGATTACAAAATGGGGGATGCAGGATTCATGGGCAATATGCAGAATATTCAAAAAGACCAACTCCACAGCTCAAAGAGCTCTCACTCTCTCTTCAAACCCACCATTATCTGACGATATCCCAAAAGCTAATGACACATTTTTCCCCACAAAAACCCCATTTCCCTCATATGAAACCCACCAACCTTCCATTTCCAACGCTTACCCTTTTGACTTTGTAGCCTCATGTAAGCCATTCAACACTCAAACAACCAGCAGACTCTCCCATCTTCCCATTTTAACTGAAGCACCCAACACCACAGAAGAACCAGCTGAAACATGCAGAGTGGACCTTTCTTCTATTTTGCTAAACATGTCATCATCAGTGCTTGGAGATTTTAGCATCAAGCCTACTGACCCTATAGAAATGCATGCACAACAGCAGTTTATAAGCAACAATCCACAAACTATGACACATGAGATGCATGCAGGTGGTGAGCAATTTGGGGCCATAAGATCCACTGCTGGATATCCTTTGAGTATAAGTGATTTGGTGAAGTCAAATTTGATTTGGGACTCTTCTTCTTCATGCCCTAGTGAAGTTTCAACAAGTTTATCTACATCTAATTGCTACACTTGATGGATTAGAGCTGAGTAGAAAGTTTAAAGTGCTTTTTCTTAGGTGCTTAATTATGTAGTTTAGCTAGAGATATGGGAAGTTTTTGTAACTTATTATTAGTGTTCTTATAAGAAGTTACATGGGCTGTGTGTGGAAGTAAGCTATCTACACCAAGTTGATGAGTATCACCCGAGTTGTTTTCTATCTAATCACATGCACACACGAATTACGAATAAGATCAGTAGAATGGAATCTTCACTTCATAACTCAATATTCGAGAAAAAAGCTAAGGGTTAGACTTCTAAGGACTAACATGTGCAAATTTGAGAACTTAAAGGTTAGAAATGAAAGAGAAGAAGATAATTGCAAGGACCATAGAATATATAGATTTAAGGTTAAAAAACTCTCTGTCTTATCCATCACATGTGTAGGTAACTTCAAAACGTAAACGATTATTTTAGTGATCTCTTTGAATTCAAATAAAAACCTTGACTTTTTGTAATAGGGAGAATTATAAAGAATGTTTTTGTAATAGTTCAAGTCCACCGCTAGCCGATATCGTTCTCTTTGGGTATTAGGAAGAGGTTTTCACACAATTATAAAGAATGTTTCGTTCCCCTCTCCAACGGATGTGGGATCTCACAATCCACCTCCTTTGAGGGCCCAACGTCCTCGCTAGTACATCGCTTGATGTCTGGCTCTAATACTATTTGTAATAGCCCAAGCCCACCGCTAGCCTATATTGTCCTCTTTGAGTTTTCCCTTCAAGGGCTTCCGCTTAAAGTTTTAAAACGCATCTACTAGGGAGAGATTTCCACACCCTTATAAGGAATGCTTCGTTCCCCTCTCCAACCGATGTGGGATCTCACAATCCACTCTCTTTGGGAGCCAACTCCTCACTGGCACACCGCTTGGTGTCTGACTCTAATACTATTTGTAACAGCCTAAACCCACCACTAACAGATATTGTCCTCTTTGAGTTTTTCCTTCAAGGGCTTCCTCTATAGGTCTTAAAACACGTTTATTAGGGAGAGGTTTCCACACCCTTATAAGAAATGCTTCATTCTTCTCTTCAATAGACGTGAGATCTCACACTTTTCTACTCATTATTTTCTCTGGGATCAATCTTATTCTATTTGGCACAGAAAGGTCTCTGATCAAATATTCAACATTTTTCTTGTTTATAATGCTTTAATGTCAAAAACTAAGATGGTGGGAATCATTCTAAAATATTATTTTAAGATAGCAACTCTATTTGTTCAAGGCATACTTATTATACTAACATATATGAGTTTGAATAAATGGATATCTTGACTCACCTAACATCTTAGACCAAATAAGATAATCTCACTCATGAACTTATATAACCCTTCTCCAAACATCAGCCATATACACACAGAGAGATGGAAGCTGGGAAGCAAAGTGATGTGGTGTTGTTTGGAACGTGGTATAGCTCATACTGCACCAGGATTATTCTAGCACTCAAAATGAAAGGCATAAACTTTGAGTATGTGGAAGAAGATTTAGCAAACAAGAGTGAATTTCTTATCAACTTCAATCCAGTTCATCAGAAAGTCCCTGTGCTCGTCCATAAAGGAAACCCAATTGCAGAGTCCTTTGTCATTCTTGAATACATAGAAGATCATTGGAACCACCGTCCCAAAATTCTTCCTGAAGACCCTTATGAAAGATCCAAAGTTCGTTTCTGGGCTCAATTCTATGACCAAAAGGTTTGCACCAAATACTCCTAATTTCAATCTCTCTTTTTTTCCTTTTTTTCCGGTATATTCTAACCATCCAAGCCCACCGCTAGTAAATATTGTCCGCTTTGGCCCGTTACATATCGCCGTCGTCCTCACGGTTTTAAAACACGTCTGCTAGGGAAAAGTTTTCACACCCTTATAAAAAATACTTCGTTACCCGGATCTCTCATTTTTTTAGTCTTCCATAAATGCTCTGTTTATGATGTTCAGATCATTTTGGGCACCTTGCCAATCTTCAAGTCCGAAGGAGAAGAAAGAGAGGCAGCTTGTGAGGAGCTATCAAAACTGATAAGGGTATTTGAAGAAGGAATGAAGAAAGATTTTCCAGGAAAATTCCCCTTTTATGACGGAAAAAACTTGGGACTTCTTGATATAGTTGTAGGGCCTAATGCCTGCAACTATTTGGCACTGCGTGAGGTTCTTGGAGATGTAATTGGCTAAAAAAGAAACCCTGATTTTCTCTCATGGGTGGATGCTTTGAAGGACCATCCTATGATTAAGGAAACTCTTCCTCCTCACCATAAAATGGTTCAGAAGCTGAAAGAGAAGATCCCTCAAAAGCCTAAAGATCACTGAACCACCACCATGAACGAGCTGAAGGAATAATAATACAGTTCATGACTTCACGACCAATAAGGGATGATAAATGCATGAACAAAGATACGTGTGACACTGTGTTTGTGTTCATAAATAAAGGATTCGTTTTCTTTTTCAGTGAAATATATGGAGGAAGAGAGTTTGCAGTTGCTTTTTTTTGGGAATATTTTGTTTCTCATTCTAGAAAGGGTTAAATCGTGAGATCCCACAAAATATTCTTTATAAGGATGTGGAAAATTTCCCCCTAACATAAGCGTTTTAAAATCGTAAAGCTGATGGCGATACATAATAGGCTAAAACGGACCATAACCGCTAGTGTGGTGTTATACATCTCTTGTAACTTTACTTAAATGTGAAAAAAAATTGAGATATAGTGTCAAAAGGGAAAAAGCAGAAGGGAGGGTTCCAAGTGAACCTGTCTGTTTATAAACGTAAGATGATCAAGCTTTTGGCTGCACCATAATAATTGGTCGACTGTCAATTTTCCCATTCTCAGCACTCTTGAAATCAATTTCAGGTCAACCTGCGCAATGAGAAGCATTAATGAATAACTCAGTCCAGCTTCCTCTTGCTTTCCCAGCTTCTCTGAAGAACATCTCTTGTTTCTGCTCAGAAGATCTTTCACCTTTCTCTCTGACTGTATCACCAGAAAACATGGTTTTTTTAGGTATAAGCTGACATAAAGCCATTTCTATGCTATTGAGGAATAATATTGGTAAGTATATGCATACCTTATGAAAGTGATCTTGTACGTTGACCAACAAAAGCTGTGGGTTTTCTGAATTTTCGAGTTCAATCTGATGCTTTCTGTTGCATTTCAGGATGTTCTTGACATGATCTTTATCAGAAACAAGAAATTCATAGAAAACCCACATTGATTTCTCTATGATTTCTGCTAAAAAGTTACTGGAAAAGTCATAATCATCTTCCCGCTCTCTTCCTTCAGCTTCTGCAGAATCATCATCTGAGTAACAATTACATCGATTTATCATCATCTGAACCACCAAAGCACTCAAAATTTGCAAAATGTGATGCATATTCTACCTATGATGGGTGGGACTTGCAAAAGACTACGAAATACACAGCGGTTCTGGACATAGTCGTTAACTCTGTTGCCCTGAAGCCTTTCTCCCTCCATGAATCTTTTCAGCATAACTTGAAAAAGTTGGAACTCACTAGCAACTTGATTATACTGACGAATACCTTGAGAGTCATATCGTTGCAGCTCAAGGGATTTCCTAAGCTGCCATTGCAGAATTTCCCAGGAAAGACAAACTTGTCCTACATACACCGTTTCTATGTCCCTTGATAAATCTCCTAAGAAAACAAGTATTGGGTCAGCTCCCAGCCTCCGTGCTTTTCCCAACCATAGCTGTGAGCTCTGTGAGTTCTGTACCGGAACTGATTGCAGCGGATATTTCAGATGCTGCAAACCTACAGAATTGAATCAATTGCTACGTTAAAAGCACCAATAGACTAAATAGACTAAACATAGTTGATGATATGTTTATAAATAAGGAATACATCTAAACATAGTTGATGATATGTTTATAAATAAGGAATACATCTAAACATAGTTGATGATATGTTTATAAATAAGGAATACATCTCCATTGGTACGAGGCTTTTTGGGGAAGCTCAAGGCAAAACCATGAGAGTTTATGCTCAAAGTGGACAATATCATACCATTGTGGAGATCCGTGATTCCTAACAAACTATACTGAGTAGAACGACCTTACAAAAAGGTAAGTGTTTTGACTTCTTCATTATACGTAGATGAGTACCCACCAATGACATGCATAATCTGATTGTTTAAGATATCAAGTTTCCACATTTTCTCTGCATAAATCCTGTAGACCTTTTGTATCTCTCCCATTACTTCTTCATACTTGAACTTTTCATTAATTGCTTCTGCTGTCTCCGCTTCCTCTTCAAAAATTGTTGGAAGCCCTCCAGTTCTTGCATTTCTCAGCTCCATTTCTAGCTGCTGTACTATATCCTGGTGATCTGGTAGATAGTTTAGTTCATACCTGTGATCATAATTTAACATGGAGGGCTTCTCCTGCAAACTTGCTTCAGTTGATTCCTCTGAAGCATTGACAGATTCTTTCTCTTTCTCTTTCTCAAAATTGTTGAAAGAGTCAAGTTGCTTGATTTCTTTGCAAGATGAATCATCAACTTGATCATGATTGGTCTTTGGGGAGCCACTGGTTGATTCCTCTGCAGATTCTGAATCAGACGGATCGGGATAATCTTCCCAAAGAACTTGAACTTCTGGTTCAGGCAATACATCAAACACATTGGAAGCATTATTTTCTGAGTAAACATCAAGAATTATGTTAGTACTTTTCAAGCCATCAGAATTTAATCCCTTAGAAACTATATCCAAAGCGGTGGATTGAACATAAGAAAGAGTACAATCAACATTATCCATGCCAACTTCTTTACTCCCGCGAGTAAACTCAGAATCTCCCATTTTCAAAGACGAAATAGTTTCCATAGAAACAGAGCAAAAAACAGAGCTCCTAGTTTTCCCATTGTCTTCGCCATCCATTTCCATTTCACCACTCTCCTTCTCCCAAAATTCAGAATGTTCTGAATCGACTCCACCATTTTCCATAAGCTCACTTCTTTGAACATCGTTACGAAATCTTTAGAGAAACAAAAACAGAGAGAAGAACGAATTAAGAACATCAGAAAGATAAAATGCATATCATCTGATATCTAAATGAAAGCAAACCTGAAAACGTATCGAAGAACGAATCGGAAGGCAGACAAGAAGTAGGTGTGAAGAAAAATCCTGAAGCGGAGGAGGACCGGCAACATATTGCAGTAAGGAATAGTCTTGAATAATACGAAATGAAGAAGGGGATTAAAGGGAGTAAGTTTGGTTGAAGCCATGAAAATGGAATTAAGGTGATCAATGGAGGTTTGTGTTGATTAAAAGCGAAGGTAAAGCGACAGAGAAACGGAGATGGAGACGGCGGCTCTAATCTTCTCAACAGAATTGCAGGGAAGACGATGGACGTTTTACTTGTAGATGGCGAAATTGTAAATTAATTGAAAACTTCAAATTTAATTTCTTATATTATATAAAAAGAATTTTGTATGAGGACTTTTTCGTAAATACATCAAATCAAGAGAAACTCATGATACTCTAAAAATAATGTTTTATGTGATACTAATATCTTATGGTTGTGAGGTTGTCTTACACCGTGTCTTATGTTTCTCTGTCTCAAACGGAAGCTGCTACTCTAGAAAGAATGCTTTTATGTGATACTAATACCTTGTGGTTGTCAGATTGTCTTGCACCGTGTCTTTTGTTTCCCTGTCTCGAACGGGAGCTACTACTCTAGAAAGAATGTTTTTATGTGATACTAATGTCGTGTGGTTGTCAGGTTGTTTTGTACTGTATCTTCTGTTCTCTGTCTCGAACGGGAGTTGCTACTCTAGAAAGAATATTTTTATGTCACGATACTAATGTTGTGTGGTTGTAAGGTTGCCTTGCACCATGTCTTCTCTTTCTCTGTCCCGAACGGGAGCTGCTACTCTAAAAAGAATATTTTATGTGATACTAATGATTAAAAAAAAAAAACAACCTTTGTAATTCGAGAACGTTTCCGTTTATGCTCCTATTTATTTTCTAGATACTCCAAGAATCTGTCTCGAGTCATAAATAGAGTGAAATCACATTTTTATTCTTTTCCGATCAACCACTTCACTCTAACCTCGAAAATTCAACTACAATTATTCTTGAAATTACAACAAATATCATTTATTTATTTATTTTTGTAATATTTAACAAAATAAGAGAGAGAAATTAAATTATAGATTGATAATATGACATGATATTTGACCTACAATATAAATTTTTTAATAAATAAAATTTCCATAATTTTATTTTTTAGTTGGCCAAAGTGAATAATTTAAAGATTTTAAAAGGTTCATATCTTATATTAAATAAAGGGGAAGAAAATAAAAATTTGTACAACATGAAGATTCATTGAATGTAATTGCCTAAAAAAAATAGAATAAAGCAAGTCAACTGGGGAACTTTATACCTAATTGTAACAACAAATTATTTTAAACCTAAGTATTTGTATTAATGTGAAAATTAATAACCCACGTGACAAAATGCCATGCTAGCAGATATTGTCTATTTTGATTCGTTACGTATCACCATCAGTCTCATGATTTTAACATGTGTTTACTAGGGAGAGGTTTTCATACTTTTATAAGGAATGACATGTGTCGTTCCCTATTCCAACCGTCCAAAATTTTGAATTTTTAAATCTTTTAAGCAAACTACCAAAAAAAAAAAAAAACACACACACACTGCCCGGTGTTTGGCTCTAATACCCCTGGAATAGCCCACTGCTAGTAGATATTGCTCGCTTTGGCTTGTTATGTATAGTCGTCAGCCTCACGGTTTTAAACACATGTCTATTAGGGAGAAGTTTTCATACTTTTTCAAAGAATGCTATGCTTCGTTTTCCTTTTCAATCAATGTGAATCTCACCGTCCACCCTAGTAAGTCAGCGTCCTCACTGGCATACCGCTCCGATCCAACTTGATACCACTGTAATAGTCCAACCACACCGCTAACAAGTATTTCCCGCTTTGACCCATTGCATATCTCCGTCAACTTCACAATTTTAAAACACGTCTACTAGAGAAATGTTTCCACACCCTCACAAGGAATGCTATGATTCGTTTATCTCTCAAACCAATGTGAGATCTCACAAACTGTGTCGATATTCAAATCTTGACTTCGGTCCAAAATTTTGAATCTTTATTTCAGACGTACTTATCTTTTAAAACATTTAAAAAAAAATAATAGTAATATTAGAAATATTTTTTAAACAAAAGATAAAATTTATAACTTGCAATAATCTTTTAAGCAAATTAAAGAAAAAAAAGTTGAACTAAACATAGGTGACAATTATAATCCAAAGAAAAAACATGGAGCAAAGAACCAGCTGCAGGAAACGTAATAATATACAAAAGAGTACGAGATTCTTCAGAGACAACAAACATGTTTATGCAACTATTAAGAACTCATTCACTTAACTCCCTAAATTTCCCAAAATGTTCCCTAAATAATTGCTTCCCATGAACATGTTCAAGGATTAATTAATGGAGAAGTTAAGTTATGAGCTCTGTTTTGAGTCATCCTTTCCATTTTCGCTACTCTGAGAATCTCTGTTTTTCTCTGTTCTTCCTCCCATGTATTTGTTATTATGCATCCAAACTCTGAGCACCCGTTTTCCGATCCCAATTTCATTACAGAATTCCTCCACTAACCTTTCATCACATTTCCCAATTTTCCATCCCATTTTCTCGGAGAAAGATCGCATCTTTTGCTTTTGATCCCTGCTGAATTTGGTCCTGTTTCTCTTCCTCTGTTTTGGGTTGAATCGACCGCCACGCTGCTCTTGCGCCGCCGCGTCGGTGCTCAATGCCAGCAACATATGAGGGGCGGAGAAGTGAACTGGCGGTGGGATGTGCGAAATTTGTAAAGGGATCGGCGAGGATGGGCTTTGAGGCTTCGGCGACGGCGGTGTGCAGAGGCGATATGATTGGAAACGTCGGTGGGTGGGGAGATTATCATCCGGTTCACGGCGGTGGAAGTTGCGGTGGCAACCACAGGCTGCGCAATTTAGAGAAGTGGGATCGGAGGGTGTGGCAGTAAGTAAAGGCATAAACTCGCCGCAGCCGTCGAGGGCGTGGCCGCCGACGGTGGCGGCGTGATTCTTGAGACATTCTCTGTAATAGATGAACATGGGGGTTGGTTTTGGAGGATGTTAATTGGGAGCATCGGCTGATCTCATTTTATGATGGAGATTATTTGGTTGTTTTTGTGTAAGAGAATGATTAGGGACAAGATTAAGGAGGGAAAAAGGGACTAATTTTGCATTAGAAGAAGATGATTATGATTATGATTATGAACAATGAGACGACGTGACGGTGACGACAATAATGATTAAATTTGGGATCAGAATATAAGAATTTGAGTGTTTGACCAAGACACGTTTTAATTTAACAAATAATAAATCAGATTTAAGATGATTAAACATAATTAAATATAATAATTTTAAAAAAAAAATGATGGAGGGTGAGGACGAGAAAGGAAGAGCAAGAAGTTGGGAAATTTGATGGCCATTAATTAATGAAAAAAGAAATTTAGGTATTGATTCAAATTAGATATAAATCCTTTGATATTTTGATATTTGATTTGATATGCACCCAACAATTAATCAAATTTATGTCTTGATTATCTTTTTAACTAATATTTTTGAGAAGTGGGGTGGGTAGATATTCGATCATTATTAGATGTACTTTGGTTGGGTTGCTTGGATTGGTAACTTACAAATTTCACAACCGAATTATCAATTTTTGGGTTGGGTTTGGGTTGTGAAACAACAAAGCGCTGAACGGAGGAGCCCGACGAGAAATACAGAGTGGAGAAGTTCGATGAAAGTGGAATAGAGTGCTGAGCGAAGAGCCCGTTGGCTCTGATGAGAAACATAGAGATGAGGTCGAGCGGAGAAATGGGAACTGAGAAGAGAGTCCAACAAAGAATATAAAGAGGTGAGCGATGTCGACATCTGAGGACACATAGAACAACGACACAGAGTGTCGAGAGGAGTTGAACGACGAAGACGAACATAGTGATGTAAGTGTGTGAGACTAGGAGTGCAAGAGTCGAGACTTCATTTCACTTACCCAGTTGTTCTAGAGGTCGAAGACGAATGCTGCGTGAGACTGCAAGACAAAGTCTCAAACTCACCGTCAAAGAGTAGAGAGGGAGACAGACAGTCTATAGAGTGCAGATGCATATGCATATGCTGACGGTGACTCGGAGGCTGGGGCTACATGGGCTTGAGCCTATTTTATTTTCTTTTTTTTTTTAAGGTTCTCGAGTTGGGTCGGGTTGACTCAATAATTTAAATTTCAAACCCTCATATCAGGTTTCAAAAAAACAAACTCAATCCAAACATGAAATCCTTTTAAACTCAACCCAATTTTTATAATTCGAGTTGGATTCTCAGGTTAAGAATGTACACTCCTACTCATTATTTGAGGCACGTGGTCATTTTTAAACCATATAAGGCCAAAGAGAATGAATAAATCAAAGGGCATAGGATGTCGGGCTTAGTGTGATAATGGAAGCCATTAAGAGCATAATTAAGGGAGGTGGGGAGGGGAGGGGTAAAATCAAAGGGAAGAGGTGACAGATTTGTCTCATAATGAAAGATAATGCTGAGTCATTGAAATGACTAATGAGTGATTAAATTAGGAGTGAAGAAAGCAGCACAAAGCTTTGCGGCTTCACCCTTTTTTCACACTTCAATTTTATCTTTGAAACGACATTATGACAACCAGAGGCCAAGGCGTGCTCTAATTAATGGCCAGGCCGTGGATGTGCCGCAACTAATGCGGTGGACATGCCGGTGCCGCCATAGTTATAGGCCTAGGGGGTTGCGGCACTATGATCCAACATCACCATGCGTCCTCCTTATGGCCATATAATCAAACTTGACAATTTACTTTTCCCTTCGCATGTTTATTCGTGAAAAAAAGAAAGAAAAAAAAAAGGGAAACGAAAAGTCTTGCTTCAGTGGGATCTCACAAAGTATTTCTTATAAGAGTAGAGAAATCTCTCCCTAACAAATGCATTTTAAAATCGTGAGGCTGAGGCTGACAACGATACATAATGGATAAAAGTGGACAATATCTGCTAGCATTGGGTTTGGGGACAATATTCACTATATGTGGGCTTGGGTGTTATGGACCGATCTGATTCGCTATATGTGAGCTTAGGTGTTATGGACCGATCTGATCTGATCTTTGACAAAGTTATAGGGTATGCTTTGTTGGCTTTGTTTGATTTGGAGTGGAAATGAAACAAATTAAGAAGATAAGGTGAATACAATGAATGGGCAAGAGGGGGCATGAATATGAAGGTTATGGTGGAAAAGTGGTAGGATTGGAGTGGAATAGATGGAAGGGATTGATGAAATGGAAATGGGAATGGGAATGGGAGTAGTCAACAGAACAAAGAACGTGACGGCAGTAAGTACATTTTCTTTAAAGCCAAAGGGACCAAAAATTCATATGGATTTGGTGAAATTATCCTGTCAGAAAAGTCATCAACCTACCTCATCCTTACCCCCTTACACCAAGTATTCTCTTTGGTCATATATGATCATTTCTATTAGTGTAATTCCAGCTCATCTAAGAAAATGCATGGAGGAAAGGAAAGGAATGCACCATTATGAAGAACAATAAGACAGATACTAAAAATGCCAACAGGTTCATCATGCATCAGCTTTTATTATTATTCCCTTTTGTAATCAAAACAAATGAAATGAACCTCTTCTTTTGGTTGATTGATGACTTGATGTGGATCAGCGCCATGGATTTCCCCTTTTTTTTGTGCATATCCTCCCTGGAAACACCCTTAAGAATGAGCTTATGCTGCTTTTGTTGCATCAATTGGACTTCTTGGATCTGTCTGATGGTTTGTGGCCCTTCTTTTGTGCACCTGCTCTAGAGCAAACAAACAAGAAGAAGCGTGACTGATTATGAAGCTATCATTTAATACATGAATTATGACTGTTGGAACAAATCCCCCCTTGAAAGTTAATCGACCATCGGCTTCTTTTGCCTATTTGACCGCGCATATATACCATTAAATCAGTTTTCTAGGTGACAAAAAGTTTACTCAATACTTGGTTCTTGTTCCGACTCCAACTGCTCTTCTTTATGCTGTCCTTTGTTCTTTCAACAAGGGGATCTGGGAAGTCAGAGGCGTCTAGCTTGATATTCAACGCACTGCAAAGAGATCCATGTTGAATGTTTTGATTAAAAGCGTAAGATAAGATAGTTATAAGACAGACAGACCAAACATATAGGTATTTCTAATATATCAGAGACTTCTTAACCATACCCACTATTTCTGTTTGGAGTCCCCCAACTATGGTTAAGTTTTTGTTGCTTAATTACTAAGGGCTATGAGATTGTAAATCAAGAATAACAATTGCATTCTTGTGAAGAATTACTCTCGGTGTATGCAAAATGAATGTAGAAGTCAGATTACAAGATATAGACACTGGTTTTAAGGGAGATCTAGATTTGCCCGTTTCGGTGCTAAAACCATTGGGGGGGATAAATGAAGAGGTTATACAATTTGCACCTATGTAAGTTAAACAGTGTCCTGGTGGGAAGTCATTTGAGGTCCTCATGAAAGTGCGCATAAAAGCAACTTGTGCTGCACCTAAGACTACGGCCTCCCGTTCCTCAAATTAGGCAGAACATAAAGGAAAAGCAAACATTTAGTAAATAAACTTGAAGTTGAATCATTAGTTAACGAATGTGGGAGGTAATATCCACCAGTCTTCGTTGTCGACGTTGCAAGATGCTGATTGCACAAGCCATAATGTAGCAGGGCAAGAGAAAACCAGCTGCTCGAAGCAAGAAAATCTGAACAATATGGTTGAAAACAATATGCACAAATTGAGCAATGTCAAAGATCATAGAAAAAGGAAAACCGTCAGAGAATGTTGCCCATTCCAAATTAAAACAATGAACTCGACTTACAGAGAAGAATGCAGACACGTAATCATCGTCTTCAGAATCTGAGACTTCCATTGCATGGCGCAAGAAAAGTAGGATCATGAGCTGCCATATTGAAATCAAGCAAATGATGTTATCCCATGGAATGGAAAACCCTTCAAGAGTGAGGGCAAGCAATAAAACACCTTCAGGAGTGAGGTATTAGCACAATGGTGTATCTGTTAGCTAGTTATTGAGACTGCAGGGTATCTATATTGACATCAATTTATGAGAAGTGAATGATAACAATAAGATTTGTGATTATACTATCGAGATTTCTTACATGTGATATCAAACAGTAAACTTACAATAAGAGCAGCTGCTCGACAAAATGCTGCTCCACCGGCATCAGAAGCAGCATATTCATCATACTCGACTTCCAATAAATTACGCTCAGTCTCTGCAAAAGCCAAAAGGCGAGGATCGTGTAAACTCAAAGGTGTGCCAGTAATGGTCCACCCTCCCCTGCAGAAGCAAGAACGCAAACAAAGATACGACACGTTTAGCTCAATATCGAAAATGCAAAAAAATCAGAGAGCTTTTCAACAAAAATATTTCAAAAGATAGTCCTGGAAATTTCTAAAGCAAGGAAATTTGAAGCATGTAAGGTACCCAATATCAATAGACGTTTCTTCAACTCGAGGGGGAGGTGGTGGAGCTGTATAATCAGGCTGGTAAGGCTGTACATAATATGTAGGAGTATAAAATCAGATAAGCTGAACCTCTAAAAAAACCATAACATTCAAAGTAGTTGAATTGTTCCATATATATGCGTTAACGCTCATCATCTTAATTTTTTAATCTTTTAATAGTCAAACTGTAACATTTCTTGACTTCATTTTCAATGGAAATATCATTACATAAGAAATGTTTTCTTTCAGCTTATTCTATCCAAGATGCTTTCACCGGATTGTGTCATGGCTCATCCGTGATGTATTGAATGAGTACCATGCGGCCAAATAACATGTCGAGTGCACGTGTGTATATATATACAAAAAAAAAACCACTTTCATTGAAAAATATGAATACAAACACCCCTCACAACAGCAAAGCAACAAGTTTGTCAAAGAATTCTGCCCTTATCCCAAAAAGGGGGCGCAATCGTACCTCCTCTAGTATAGTATCGACATCAAATGCATATATGATCCCAAGGACTTGATATAACCAAGTAAAATCAAGAATGTAAACATACCTGATGACAAATCTCACAAATGATATCCCCTTTTTCATTGCACCAATGCTGTATACACTTCCGATGAGCATACTGGCAAAGTAATCGTTGTTAACATCTCATCTAAATCATAATGCAACACAAGCAGTAAATGCCTCATTAGATGCATTTGAGATA